GTCCATGGGATTCTCCAGGCAAGAGTACTGGAGTGGGCAGCCATATCCTTCTCCGGGGATCTTCAAAATCTAAAAAGAAAGAAAAGAAACCTATGTGCCAGTTCTCCAATGGCTTAAGTGTGTGTGACTCCTGGTCAGAGGGAAAACGTGAAGAAGTTATCTCAATCGTGTTGATTATTACAGGGGGGAAGTAGAGGGGGCTTCCATGGAAGAGAACAAAGAAACTTCGAGCGGGGCTGAGGTTAAACACGGGGGCTCGGGGAGCCCGGAGATCCGGGTCTAGAAAATGTTCTCTCCATTAATTCTGTTACACTAGGCAAATATTTTCCTTTTCTGCGTCTCAATTTCCCCAGCTGTGAAACGGAGAAATCTGTGAAACCGGAATCGTTAAACGATCCTGCAGGTCAGGATCTATAACATTCTCAACCTTCTCTTGGATCTTCGCAACATCCCTTAGGAAGTCTAAGAATCTGCCATTCCCACATCCACCGTCCTCGCCGGCACCGCCTGGGCTTCTTGCTGGGGAAGGGGGTCACTTCAGGGGAACCGGGTCTCGGTCAGGGAAGTCAGGGCGTGCTCTGCCTGCCGGCGGCTCCAGATCGTGCCAAGTCGCCGCGGGACCCCGCCGCCAGCTCCCCACCGCGTCGTCCTCCCTCCTCGCCTTCCCCCGGCGCAGCTCGCAGCCCGGAGCCCAGGAGACAGCCTGACCGCTTCCGCGGAGCAGGGAGCCTGGGACCGCCCGCCATCTGGCCTCCGCCCCGGAGCCACCGCTCCCAGAGGAGCTGCGCGGCTGGCGCTTGGACCCCTCGGCAGCCCAGCCGCAGGTGCCCGCCCGCCTCCGCCCAGCCCAGCGCTCACACGGCCGCCGGGCACCATTCCCCGCTCACTCCTCTTGCTCGGAGTTGCTCTTTTAGCCCCCGTTCCCCGGGTGGAAGCACCAGTCTGAGCTTCTCTGAAGGCGTGAAAGGGATAACGGAGCTAGGTGAGTGATGCTCTAGATCTTTTTCCTTTTTAAATAAACCTGCATACTGAAGAGCGCTGGTGGGAAACTAGGAAGTTGAAAGGAAAGAGAAAGAAGACAAACGCAGGCAGTCGGGATGACCCACCACAAGCTGAAAGGGACCATTCCTAGCTTTTTAGAAATGTGTACCCCACTTTGTCCACCAGCCTCTGGCTCAGGTCGAGACACAGACAGACTTCAATGAATACTTGCTGGGGTAAGTGTGGGAGGTATCAATATTTCCGCTTGTTTCTCTTATCCAGCCTCAAAACAAGCCAACATTGCCTTTGATGGCTGGCTTCATCTCCACCAGACTTTACTCCCCTCACACACACACCTGCCCCAAAGCTGAAGAATTGGAATAGTTTTATACCAAGTGCCATGGAGTCACACAGTGGACTGCTATGCAGCACTTAAAAAGCAGAAATCAGAGCTGTATAATGTATAATCTACATTATCCTTGTAGATAGCACAAGTATAATGGTAATGATCAGTAAGATGCAAAATATACCTACTGTCTGATGCCACTTAGGTGACATTTTAAAAGACACATTGTGTGTGTAAAATCACAGTAAGTTGTCTGTAAAATGTACACAATCACATTCATAATTGCAGCTGTTTGGGGGAAGTATGAAAGAGAATGAATTTGGCATGAAGACTGAGATGGAAAAACGATTTTCCTATAGGTTTTAATATAGAAAAATGATGAAGCAAAAGTTGATGAAATATAAACAATAGTTAACTGCAAGTGATGTTAACTTGGATCTTTTTCAGGATATTTTCTTTCTTTCTTGTGTTTCTAAATTTGTCTCTGTTTAAGCAGTTTTGTTGTTCAGATGCAAACAAAATAAGTTATGTCTGTGCATATCCTGTGGGAATAAAACTAGACAGTTCTGTTAGAAGTTACAACTTTCTTGTATCACAGCATAGGTTCTTCCCGAAGAAGACACCTCTTACCTAGGGAGTCTGAGCTGTTTGGAGCAGCTCACCTGTTGACTTCCTCCCAAAGCATAGGCCAAAGGTCAAACATTGTCTATAGTTAATAATCTGATAAGTGGCCAGGTCAAGGGAGAATCTGGAAACTCCTTGATTTCCTTAATAAGACACATTGCTGTTTCTCTTGAATTTTCTGTCTAGGATGTTCATTTCCATGGGTGGTGACTGCCCCCTTAATATCTCAAAATGATGCTTATGTAACACTGCAGAGTTAATATCAGGTCAGGAAAGGGTGTGAGGGTTGGTAGGAAAGAGGCCTGTAGCTCTTCGGGGCCCTGTTCAGTGGAATGGAAAAGATGTGTCTCCTTTTGCCTGCTACGAAAAGGTTGATTTCTTTCTGGATATGAGGGGAAGTTACCAGTTTGGTTATCTACAAAGGAAGAAAAAGAGAAAGACAATTCTAGACGGGATTGAGTGTTTTAACACAATGGATAAGCTACAACCCAATAAGCCAAGTCTTCTGCCCATCCCCCATACAAGAGTGGTTCCCTGTTGACATATTTTCTCCCTACACTAAAGAACATCACTGGATCTTTGGTAAACAAAATTGTCTGCACATCAGAACAGAACTCGGAAATATGGCAAATTGAGATCATATCCCTCTTTCTGTTTCTGACCTGACAACTTACAAGGTCACTGCTCGGGACACTTTGTGTTGTGGAAAGATGGGCTACTTGAGAAAAGCCTGAGGTGTGAAGAAAAATCCAAGAGTGGCAGGACTGGGGTGTGATGTGAAAGCTATGTGTACTGAGGTTTTACTCACAAAGTTGAAGAGAATGTAGCCCCTGTCTGCAATATTAACAATCACAATTCCTTAAAATTGATGTTCTCTTTAAGACTAAGCCTCTCTGATGTCGTCTGTGGCTCAACTTTTACTATTCCCCACTTACTCTGGACTCTTAAATGCAATAATGAACACACAGGGCGCTCCATTGCTTCTCCCCAGCCTGCAAAGAAATACTGAGTATCCCACCCACTTCTTCCTCACCCTCCTTTCCTCAGGGATTACAAGCCCTCTGTTTGTAGCCCAGAGATACAGTTGAGTTCTTTCTATCTCTCATCTCCATCATCCCCTCTTAGCTTCCTCCAGCCACCTGTTACCTCCTGCCCCTCCCATCCCTCCCCCATATTATTTAATCTCTTGCTTCCTGATTGCTGACTCTGTCTTTGCTCTCAATTTAATGCTTCTTTTTCAAGTCCAGAAGGCACTTTGCCAGCAGTTGGCTTTCATTATGAAAAGTAGCATTTCCTTAATGAGTCTGCCTTCCAAATGAAGGCTTTACTTACATTTCCTCTAATAGGAAAAGGAGCTTTTCTCCTAGATTTGCATAGGGGCTACTCAAATTCCTTTTCAGTTACTCATCCCTAGTCCAGGTTCACTTGGGACACTTTTTTCCATTCTGACTCATTCTGACTCTAACTTGTATTCCTGTCATGTGCAAAAAGTTCAAGAGGAAATCAACAGGTGTCATATTAAAAAATAATACATGATAAGGAAATATTGCACTATTAAAAGTAGCAATAGCTAGTATTAGTTCTTTGCAAATTATGTGCCAGGCATGGTGCTAGTTGCCTCACACAGATTGTCTCATGTTGGAGAAGACTTGAGAGTCCCTGGGACTGCAAGGAGATCAAACCAGTCAATCCTAAAGGAAATCAGTTCTGAATATTCATTGAAAGGACTGATGCTGAAGCTCTAATGCTTTGGTCACCTGATGCCGAGAGCCAACTCGTTGGAAAAGACCCTGATGCTGGGAAAGATTGAAGGCGGGAGGAGAAGGGAATGACAGAGGATGAGATGGTTGGATGGCATCACCGACTCAGAGATTGTGTTTGCACTTTAGCAACAATCTTTTTGATGGAAGCTGGATTTCGCAGGTCGCCAGTGTCCCAGCAGGCAGTAATATCTTCCACCTGGTCCAGCTCACTCATTTCCATTTCCCTCTAGCTCTTGTAGGCATCTGAGCTTGTGATTTCTGCAGAAGACATTGTTTCTCCCACTTGAGAGATGGGCAGTTTAAAAGCCATTATTAGTGTCAGTTTTCCATACCAGTTTCCAGGAAAGTAAAGTTTTTGTATAATTATGTTAAAAATGATCAAAGCTGTAAATATACACTTTTCAGGGTTTTTTAGCTCTCGCGTGTTATCCAAGCTTCCTAGCTGACAACAATTACTGAGCACTTGTACTGTGAAAATACATTATGTATTATCTCACGAAATCATATTTGTCTTTGAGGTGAGGACTGTTATGATCTTCAAGTTCAGGGAAGAAAAGAAATATGTTCCATGAAACTCTGTGACTTGCTGGTATGGTCAAGCCCAAACTCAGAACTTGTGCCTTTGATATTGTAGTAACTGCCAGGGTCAGAGGAAAGAGGGGATTTTTTTTATGACTGAAAATTAACTTGATCACCCATCGAAAAATGTTTAAAATTAACCTATTTTCTCAAAGGTATAGAAAATCACAATACAATATTTCTTTTGTTTTATATGTGTTACATAGAGCATTGCTGGGAATTCCCTGGTGGTCCAGTGGTTAGGACTCAGCATTTTCACTTCAGGGGCCCAGGTTCAATCCCTGGTGGAGGAATTAAGACACCGCAAGCCACACAGCATGGCCAAAAGTAATTTTTTTTTTTTAAAGCATTGCTGACCTCATTTTAAGCTTGCCTTCACACTTAGAAAAATATTTTGCTTTCCTCCCTCTTTATAAGTCCAGGTCTACTTCGATGAGGTCATGTAGTGGGTTCTCCCAGATGTTAGATGTTCTCTCTTATTTCTGAAATTGTCATTTTCAAGAATGAAACATTCTGCAGTGGTTCAGATTAGCTTAATTTCAGCTACTGTCTGTAATCAGGTACACCTGAGTACACCATATCATAAGAATTCCTTTCTCTTTATCTCCCAGATACCTAGCTGAGGTTTCCAGACCCCTTTTGAGTGAAGATGAATGTTTCTTCTGGAATAATGTAAGTGGAAGGCCCAGGGTTGGGTAGACTCGACTATGGGAGCCAACACTTCAAGCAAACCACCAGTGTTTGATGAAAATGATGATGGTGAGAAATGTTCAATACTTGTATATAAATATAGAACTTGCAGAATTCAGATATAAGCTCCTCACTTCATAAGTAAATTGCCATGTACTGGATTGGCCACAAAGTTCCTTCAGGCTTTTCCATACCATCTTAGGAAAAAACCAGAGTGAACTTCTTTGCCAACCCAATAAGACCTTTAAAAAAGGTATAAATGCAAAGATAAGCTTGAGCATAACCTTGCATGCTAAGAGCTGGATTTTACCTTCCACTTTCCATGGGACCTTGGATAATTTTCTTAATCATGACTCTACCAATGCCCTTTGTCCAAAGGGAGCTGTGAGTGGGCACCTGGTTTCAATAGAAGACCTTGAAACTAAATGATTTAATTCTCTGTGCTGCTCCTTTGATAGGTGAAGTTACCCCTACTGGTAGCTGTTACAGAAAATTTCTTATATTATCAAACTGCATGTGAATGATAATACTCATAATATTATAGAGTGGAGTGAGGCAAGTTTGTGCCTTCTGAGCTTCCAACTTACATGTTCCTAGGGTCCTTGCCAATTTCCACAATGCTAGGTCATAGAAAAAAGGATCAGTTTCATTGGAGAAAAGTGAAACTTTACAGCAGCCCTTATAGGCATATGCTGTTAGGTTGTCTGGGGGAAAAGCGGCCCTGGACCCCAGCTAGTAAGTTGCCCAGGTGCCCCAGAGGTAGCCCCCAGAATCATTTCCAGGGAGTTCAGTTAATTGGACCACAAAGGAAAAGAACAATGAATGGAAATTCAGGAGATTTGAGCCCTAGTCCTCTTCTCAGCTACCTGTGTGGCTCAGGAAGCTTATCTTAACTTCCTCATCCATCAAGTGAGAGGAGAGGGAAGTAAACTTGAAGTTCTTTTTCAACTCCAGAAGTTTATCATTTTGAGATCCTAGATCCTAAAGGCACTTTGCAAAAATGATGAAACAGCATCCGAATCATCAAGGAAAGTTTGCTAAAACAGAAACTTACAAGTAACAGTTGTGTTTTTCTTTCTCATGTTAGCAATCTAGGCATAAGTAATCCAGGTGAGACGTGACTCTGAAGGGTTAGGGACTCTGGCTCTGACAAGTTGGCTTCTTTCTAGCCCTTCACAGCCCGAGTGTTACTATCACCCTCATGCCTCAGGGTGGCTCACCACCACATCACATCCCAGCCACGGGCAGGGGAGAGCGGGGAGACCAAGCCCACACCTTTTAAGGGTGCGATCTGCCTGCTCCTTGTCACTTACAGACCTAGTTACAAGGGAGACTGAGAAGTTTGGTTACTTATCTTGCATGGCCATGAACCTTCTAAAAATAAGGAGTTCTGTTCTGTTATACAAGAAAGGGACAATTAGCTATCTGCCATGGCTGGGGAACAAACAAAAGTCTGTTCTCATCTTAGGTTTTGAGTTTTTGTTTGGACCCTTTAAAAAAAAAAAGTCTGGCTAATCAAGATGCTTTGTGGCTAGCTGTTCACTATCAATTCAGAGATGTGTCATGACTACCTATACAAAATACTGCACAGGAACCCTGAAATTATATGGTTTGAAAATGGTCTTAAGAAAACTTTTTTCCACTCATATCTATAGCCTTGCTTTGCTCTATCAAGCTGTAAAGTCAAAGATCTAGAGGGTGTTACTTGATTTTTTCCATGTCTAAAATAGAAAGACAAAAAGGCTTGGATTTCATGTGTTTGGTTCACTGTGGTCCCTACAGATGCATAACTAAGGTTGATGCCATCCAGCCATCTCACCCTCTGTCGTCCCCTTCTCCTCCTGCCCCCAATCCCTCCCAGCATCAGGGTCTTTTCCAATGAGTCAACTCTTTGCATGAGGCAGCCAAAGTATTGTAGTTTCAGCTTCAGCATCAGTCCTTCCAATGAACACCCAGGACTGATCTCCTTGCAGTCCAAGGGACTCTCAAGAGTCTTCTTCAACATCACAGCTCAAAAGCATCAATTCTTCGGTGCTCAGCTTTCTTTATAATTCAACTCTCACATCTGTACATGACCACTGGAAACACCATAGCCTTGACTAGATGGACCTTTGTTGGCAAAGTAATGTCTCTGCTTTTTAATATGCTATCTAGGTTGGTCATATCTTTCCTTCCAAGGAGTAAGTGTATTTTAATTTCATGGCTGCAGTCACCATCTGCAGTGATTTTGGAGCCCCAAAAAATAAAGTCTGACACTGTTTCCCCATCTATTTCCCATGAAGTGATGGGACCAGATGCCATGATCTTAGTTTTTTGAATGTTGAGCTTTAAGCTAACTTTTTCACTCTCCTCTTTCACTTTCATCAAGAGGCTTTTTAGTTCCTCTTCACTTTCTGCCATAAGGGTGGTATCATCTGCATATCTGAGGTTATTGATATTTCTCCTGGCAAGCTTGATTCCAGCTTGTGCTTCTTCCAGCCCAGCGTTTCTCATGATGTACTCTGCATATAAGTTGTTCAGCCATGTCTAAATCTTTCGCAACCCCATGGACTGCAACACATAGGCTTCCCTGTCCTTCACTATCTCCTGGAGTTTGCTCAAACTCATGTCCATTGAGTCAGTGATGCCGTTCAACCATTTCATCTTCTGCCGTCCTCTTCTTCTCCTGCCTTCAATCATTCATAGCATCAGGGTCCTTTCCAATGAATTGGCTCTTGGCATCAGGTGGCTAAAGTATTGGAGCTTCAACTTCAGCATCAGTCTTTCCAATGAATATTCAGGGTTGATTTCCTTTAGGATTTACTGGTTTGATCTCCTTGCAGTCCAAGGGGACTATCAAGAGTTTTCTCCAGCAACACATTATTGTTCTTCGGAGCTCAGCCTTCTTTATGACCCAACTCTCTCATCCATACATGACTACTGGAAAAATCATAGCTTTGACTATATGGACCTTTGTCAGCAAAGTGATGTCTTTGTTTTTTAATATGCTGTCTAGGTTTATCATAGGTTTCCTTTCAGTACACTCTAGGTCACTATTTTTTGTTGTCCTGGCCCCCAGCAGATGAGCCTACAGTAGCATCCTTAGAGAGAAGAGCTGAGCATAACAGTATGTATGTCTGCACTTCCCAGGGCAAGACTCTGAGTCCATTTACATGCTGAGTTGTAAAGCACAAGTAGAAAGACAAATGCGTCTACTAGGAGCCCATCCCTTTGCTGGATGTGAGGAGCAGAGTAGGGCACAGGATGTCCCTTCCCCTGCCTTTGTGGAGCTCTTGTTGTAATGGTGGGAGGCAAACAAGAAGCTCATTAATGAATATACAAACCGGGTAACTTCAGACAGTGTTCAAGTGTCACCAAGGGAAGGATCTGAGGACCTTATGGAGAATGACAGGGTGATGGTGAGGAGATTTCAGATAGGGTGTGGCCAGAGCTGGCCTTTCTGAGGAAGTAACACCTGAAGTAAAGCCTGAAAAATGTGAGGAAGCCACTCATGTAATAACAGAATAGTTCAAGCACAAGAAAAAAGTCCAAATAATGACAAAATCAGAAATGACCAGTTGCCTATATCTCCACATTCTGATGAGAATGAGTTTGTATGTTAAGAAAAGGGATCATATTTAATTGCTATATTATTTTTTTTACAAGATCATTGGGTTTTGGGGAGGAAAATTATGACATTCTAGTTATTTCTTAAATGAATAAATCCTATAATATAGATTTGACTCCTTTCATAGCTCTGGACTGAGCAGAAGGAAAATTTTTTATTTGATTGCTATGAGGCTTCAAACCAAGAAACAATGACAAAAAGCACTGACTGATCCAAGAACATTAATGCCTGTATCATATTTGATCTCTGTATTTTTATATAAATAATCAAATGGAGCCAGAATCTAGGGCACTTAAATGAACCAATTTAATTATTTTAAAATATTGCTGAAAAGAATCCCAAGATGTGATGGAAAATTGTTTACTATTCCCATTATACATTTGAGAAGAAAATTTGCACCTATTTTTCCCAAGTAATATTTCAAGATTTCTTTCTCATGGAAGAAATGTTTTGGTTTACTTCAAAGGTAATTAAGGAATAAGATGTTAGTGGATGTCCCTTGAGATAAGCTATTCTCTCTGGAATTCATCCTGACACTTTCTGTTTCATGCTGGTTCATCTGATACTGATCTTGAGAGAATCATTCTGTTAGTTACTTATGCTGATCTTTATTTAGTGAAAACAAAGTATAAGCTTTACAGCTGCTGAAGAAGAGCAGAAGGCTTGCTTAGTTAATTACTGTTAAGTCATTTCTTACTAAGTAGATTGTACATGATACTACTGTTTTGTGGTTTAGGGTAAACCTAAGTTCTGATTATTTGTGTGTGTGTGTGGTATAATATATATGGGCTTCCCTGGTGGCTCAGATGGTAAAGAATCTGCCTGCAATGCAGGAGACCTAGATTTGATCCCTAGGTCGGGAAGATATCCTGGAGAAGGAATGGCTATCCACTCCAGTACCCACCCATTTTCTTGCCTGGAGAATTCCATGGATAGTGGAGCCTGGCAGGCTACAGGCCAGGGGGTCGCAAAGAGTTGGAGATGCCGAGTGACTAACAGTCTAATATATATAATAAAATGTACCATTTTCACCACTTTTAAGTGTACAGTTCAGTGGCATTGAGGGGGTACATCTGGGGGCAGCCATCACCACCATCTATCTCTGGACCCCACGGACTGTAGCCCACCAGGCTCCTCTGTCCACGGGATTTCCCAGGCCAGAATACTGGGGTGGGTTGCCATTCCCTCCTCCAGGGGGTCTTCCCAACCCAGGGATCGAACCTGTCTCTCCCTAGGCTCTTGTGCTGCAGGCAAATTCTTTACTGCTGAGCCACCTGGAAAGTCCCTGGAGCTTTTTAATCTTCTGAAGTTTTGTAGCCATTAAACATTAATTCTCCATTCCCTCGTCCCCTTAGCCTCTGACAACCACCATTCTACTTTATGTCCTTATGGTTTTAACTGTTCTGTGTGTATATTAGTCACTCGATCGTGTCTGACTCTGTGCAACCCCATGGACTATAGC